GATGCATTATGTAAAGGTACAATTCCCAATGAGAAATGTAATTGTGTTGTATACCTACAATGTACCAATAAAAGAATTTAATACAAAAAAAAATGAGTAGTGAAGAAATGTGCATAAACACCATTACATGGTATTTTGCAGTATACATTTAAATAACTCACAGAGTATAGATAATAGTAAATACAGTAAAATAATTAGGATTGAGGAGATTTAAATATTTGTCTACCTTTGTTTTTATTTAGTTGTAATCATATGTAATTTAATTTTTAATCTTGACTGTCTTTAACAATCTGCTCGGAAGTTCCTGAAATTTTAGCTGTCAGTTGTAACAACTCTGTACAAATCAGCTCCATCATACTACTAAATCCATATCTTTATATTAGTTGGGTATTTTAGTTGCAGTTGACACAAAATAAAACAGCTCAAACTAGTTTAAGTTCAAGAAGAAGTTATTGACTTATAAGACTCAGATATACAGAGGTATATAAGTCTTTTGACATGGCTAAATTTAGGAGTTAAATCATGTCCTCAATATTTACTCTGTTTCCTAGCAGTGATCTTCTCCATTCATCTTCCTTCTCCAGCAGGCTCATTCCACAAGGTAACACAGTTGGCCCCACATACTTTAGATTATCATTCAATTGTATTCTTCATCTCAGAATAACCATGGTTCTGTTTCAACTCCATCTCAGTCCCTGAAGTAACACTGTGATTGGGTCCTGTTTAAATCACATGCCTTCTTCTGAATCAGTGATTTTGTTTTGAGAATTAGCAAAACCAAAGTTTGGATCTTTCACCTAGGGGACAGGAGACATGGAGGCCTTAAAGTGATACCCCCACCAAAATCAAAGTGCCCTGATGCAAAAGTTTTGTCAAAAAAAGGGAAAGGGAAAGAGAAAGAAAGCAAAACCAACAGAAGTCTACCACATTCTGCTTATAAGGACATTTTTATTTTAAGGGTCTCTTGAAAAATGTGGGTGTGCAAGGCCAGAAGACAGTTTTCCTAATCACAGACACTCAGATTAAAGAAGAAGCTTTTCTAGAAGATATTGACAGTGTACTCAATACTGGAGAAGTGCCTAACATTTTTGCACCAGATGAAAAACAAGAAGTGATGGAGGTAAATGCTTTTGGGAGAGTACTGTTCTTAGCATAGGAGTTTTCTTATCGTGAAATCTTTTCTCTACCATTCAGGATAAATATAGCTTGTACAATTTTATTCTTGTTTATTTCATTTGGTGTCAGTTTTGGGGAGTTGTATTTATTTATCTATTTCGGATTAAACCCAGGGCCCTGTGCATGCGAGCCAAGTGCCCTGTTACTGGGCTATATCACAGTCCCCTTAAAAACAGGTTTTATTTTTTGTATATGTATGATTCTGGGGATTGAACTTAGGGTCTTGGTAATGAGCTATATCAGGAGCCCTTTTTAAATTTTATAGTTTGAAATAAGGTCTCACTATGTCACTAAATTGCCCAGGCTGGGTTCGAACTTTCATTCCTCCTGCCTCAGCCTCCCAGAGTACTGGGGTTACAGGTATATACCACCATGCTCAGCTAGCTTTTATAATACTAGTTTAATATATAATAATTTTTTTTCTCCTTCCCCAATCCAGGCCATGAACTAGTCATATATAATTTTCTGAGGGCTTTTAAGTGTTCACACTAATAAATCCTTTATTTTGTTTGGTTCTCAGAAACAAATTGCTTGTGCCATAGTTATGAGGCAGAGGTTTTTTTTTGGTACTGGGGATTGAACTCAGGACCTTGCGCTTTCGAGGCAGGCACCAAAACCACTGAGCTAAATCCCCAGTCCACATGAGGCAGAGTTTTTATTTTATAATTCCTTTTTTCATACAATGGCAGCTTGTTTTACCTGCTTGGTAATATTAGTATGTTTTATAAATGATTAAAGAGTTTTAAGTCATCTTTTAAATTTATATAAGAAAACATGACTTTAATGCTGCTTGATTAGCCTATAACTTATCACTAGTTGGCGAATTTGTCAAAAGTCTTAATAAAACTACTTGTCTTACAGTTCTGATATATCTCAAAGTCAGTTTTTGTGATCTAATCAACAAAATAATTATGAAGCACCTGCAACTATTAGATGTCACATCTTTTGATCCTCATTTCTAAGACCTTCCCACAGAAACTCTCTGCTAGTAGTTTCCCCCATTTTTCCTTACTATAACTACTTCTTCCACAGTATTTATCACTCACACTTGGAAGTTTCATTCTCAGCCTCCATGAGTAGTATCTGGAGTGAAATGGACTCATACTGGTAGGCACTCTGCTTTTGTCTTCTATGGAGTGGGATTACGCATAATAGTTCCTCCTATATAGGGTGGTTGTGAAATATGAGAACCAAACAAAATAAACCACTTATGTAGTATTAGTACTTAGAAAGCCCTCAGTAAACACTATATTACCAATTCATGGCCTGGGTTGAGAAAGGAGAAAAAAAATTCTTTGCTTTTATTGGAGATGTTAGGAATGTGGTAAAAGAGCTGATGAATAGTGATTTTTCTAATTTATAGGAAAAATTCACCCTTAATAGTCCTATCCAAAGAGTAGTCCCCGTTTGGGACTGAGGTTTCCTAAGCTTTGTCTGACTTTTCTGCTCACTTTATCTGTTGTCTATCTTCTATTCCTATAATTTTGCCGCTTCACTATTTCCATTTAAAAATTGCATAATATATATGTATGTGTTTTTTTTAATGTATGTATTTTTTTGAGACAGGGTCTCTAAGCTGCTCAGGCTGGCTTCAAATGCCTATACTCAAGCCATCCTCCCACCTGTGTTCTTAGTAGCTGGGACTCTAGCTACATGCCACCACACCCAGTTTGTATTTATGTGTTCTTTAAAATTTAGCAAAGGTGTCCGGGGATTTAGCTCAGTGGTTTTGCCGCCTGCTGCGCAAGTGCAAGGACCCAAGTTTGATCCCTGATGCCAAAAAAAATTTTTTTTAATTAAAAAAAAATAAAATTTAGCAAAGATCATATGCTGTATACTGTTATATAACTTTTTTGTTTTGCCTACTTTATCTTGCTCATCTTCCCATAGCATATACATAGATATACCTTATT